AGGTCATAGGATTGGAGGCTGGGTGCGGTGGCTCATGCCTGTAATCCCAACACTTTGGGAGGCTGAGGTGAGTGAATCACCTGAGGTCAGGAGTTTGAGACCAGCCTGATCAATATGGTGAAACTCCGTCTCTACTAAAAACACAAAAATTACTGGGGCATAGTGGCGTGCCAGACCAGTCATTCTCTTACATGGCCTTGCAATCTTTAAAAAATGCAAACTAGTCCAATTATACAACCTCCTTTCAGGGTTTCCCGTGGTCCTAAGGACAAAGTCCCAGATCCCAGCTACTTGGGAGGCTGAGACAGAAGAATTGCTTGAACCCGGGAGGTGGAGGCTGCAGTGAGCCAAGATTGTACCACTGCACTCCAGCCTGGCAACAGAGACTCCGTCTCAAAACAAACAAACAAACAAACAAACAAACAATAATAATAATAATAAAAGAAAAGAAAAGTCATAGCCCAAGAGTCTGGGTTAGCAAATCTCAGTTATTTTATCTGTAAAATGGGGCTAACAGCACAGGCTTTGAATAATAAAATGAGACTAAAATGACAACCATTCTTTTTTATTAAACAATTTTTTTTTCTTTTTGGTGAGCTGAGACTTCTTTTTTTTTTTTTTCAGACCAACCATTCTCTTACATGGCCTTGCAATCTTTTAAAAATGCAAACTAGTCCAATTATATAACCTCCTTTCAGGGCTTCCTATGGTCCCAAGGACAAAGTCCCCGGTCTGATGCTGCTCTCTGCAGCCAGCCATTTGGTGGTGGTGGTGGGTCACTGTACTTAGCCTTACACAAGCTTGTCTCTCTGCAAGAAAGACATGTCCACCCCAACCAGGAAAACTCTTCCAAGATTCTCCTCCTCCAGTAAGGCTCTCTAGGCCCTCAGAGCAGCACAGACCCTGGGATCCATACCCTATGGCCCTCCCTGCCTGTTTCTGGATGTACAAAGTATTTCTCTGTGCCTTGTCTGTAGCAGCAAAATATCAAAACAACCTAAATGACCATCAATACAGAGGATTGGCTAAATAAATAAATTCCTCTGCAGCTGTAAGCAAGAATGAGGATGCTTCTGTTTTAATAGAGAATGATCTCCAAGATATATTATGAAGGAGAAAAAAGAATGATACTGAGCAGTATATAGTATGCTGGAGAATAGTATGCAAAGTCTGCTTGTGTTTATGGACTGCCTGTGGACCTAGACACAAGAAATGGGTGGAAATGTTGCCTTTGGAAGGGGAACTAGGTGGCTGGGGAACATTTCACTGTGCACTCCTTGTATCTGCGGATTTTGTAACTTGTGAGCATAGTACCTTTCAGAAACAGATGTTATCAACTCTGCCTCTCTTGCCCTGAGGGAGATTAGACATAAAAACAAACCATCCTATGGTAGGTAAAACCAGACAAGAGTCACAAGATGAACACAGGCCCAACTTGAAGAAATAGGGACTTGGGAAGGCTTCCTTACAGGGATAGTGTTTGAGCTGGGCCCAGGAGAATTCTGGAAGGGAAAGTGGATGGGTATGGAGGGGATAGGGTGGAAGGTGGCCTAGACAGAGCCACTGTGAAAGCATGCAAGTGACCACGAAAAGGCACCAGCTTACCTTTGCTTGGTGCTCTATTTTGTAGGCAGTTTGTTGAAACTGGCGAATCTCTCGGATAATATGCGATATCTGTGGGAAGGAAGGAGAGTTTCAGAACACAGTTTGCTCTCCTAGTTCTACCCCCCCACGTTGCAGAACTAAAGGGGCATCAACAGCGAAATCTGAAGTCAGCCTCTTCATTCCATACGTGTTGCCTCCTGGAAGGTCCCACGGAGGCATCATGTGTGTTTGTTTTTAGTTTTATTTTTTGAGATGGAGTCTTGCTCTGTCACCCAGGCTGGAGTGCAGTGGCGTGATCTCGCCTCAGTGCAACCTCTGTCTCCTGGGTTCAAGCAATCCTCCTGCCTCACCCTCCTGAGTAGCTGGGACTACAGGTGCATGCCACCACACCCAGCTAATTTTTGTATTTTTAGTAGAGATGGGGTTTCACCATATTGGCCAGGCTGGTCTCGAACTCCTGAC